GGGGGGGAGAGGCTGTTCTAAAAAGGATTCTATCTACAGCACACAGTACATTAGGGTGATCAATAAGTTAAAGAACATTTGAAATAAAAGAATCACTAATGTGTCAGACTCGGCGTGCTTGACGCCCAGGGCAGATCATTTAGTTACCAACCCCTTACAAACCAACAGCTGGTGGTACAGTGTGTACCTGCTGGGCCTATAAACACCTGGTTGTAAATTCTAATCTCACATATGGCACAGAGCCTTGCCACACTTACCAGGGATTGGGGTCGGTCATGGTTAGTGTTGTTACCACGTAGCAAGAAAAATGTGCCAATTGCAATACTGTGAAATATCTCCCAGAGTTTTTAAAACCATTCTTACATAACATAAGGGTTGTGGTGTTACAGGTAAGGTAGCCGTTGATCCTTGCCAGAGGGAGGTGTTGAGGGTGCTTCGGGGTGGGGGTGGTCTGCCAGGTGTAGATGGTAACACATCCTTGGTTAGTAAGGGTATTAAGGATGTTGGCAGTGTGGCTAAGAATGACCGCCAAGTCGTCTTGTTCAAGCACGTTATAAAATTGTTAATAAGAAACGTGTTTTAGACCAATCTCCCCCTGCGCCAGGAAAAAGAATCTATTAATTTGAGCCGCTAAAGGTTTTAGAACCTAAAATGTCCCCAATGAAACTGGGGAGTTTGTACCAGTCTAGTCAGTGGCATCCACAGAGGGTGTATGGAAGTTCCGTGATCCAAACCTGATTTACTTTATTAGAAGTACACTGGCTCATGCGGTTTTGGAAGAAGGAAGATGCTGTAGACTTCATGAGGGTGATGGATGAACTTGTTTGGGTTCGATCAGCACAAACACACCAAAAGGTTCACCAGTTGTGCACTTTAATGGGAACCCTTTTGAACTCAATAGGAAGCGAATCTTGAAAATCAATACTCTCCATTTTTACGGCTAACAGGCAAGGGCATTGGGAGCTGGGAAGTGCCCAGGGGGACATTTACCAATGCACCCCCCATTTATGCTAATTTAAGAGCAACATGGAATAAAACTCAGTGGCTTCCCAGATAGCAAGCAATTGAGCTGCAAGTTTGAAAATGACTTGCTAAACTATTGCAGACTTGCCAAGCTTCAAAATTTTGTTGTACAATTACAGCAAGTCTGCATGGCAAGTCTCCAGATCAACGTACCATGTAAAAGTGCTTCTACACTTGCAGAGCTCTTGCTAAGACCTGCAGGGCTCTTGCTGTAGACTTGCCAAGCACATTTGCTACAAATTCAAAAAGTGTCAACTAGAACTTGTGCTGCAAGTGTTCTGCAAGTCTACAACTTGCCAGGAATATGTGCAGCAAGTTAACAAGAATTACAATTTAACCCTGACACAAGTTTGTGGCAAGTTATCCTTGCTATCTGGGTTGTTCACTGCAGGGGTGGTCGACCTCGACATTCCAGCTGTTGTGGAACTACAAGTCCCATGGGGTATTGCAAGCCTGGCAGCCAGACATGACCCGCAGAGGCAGGATGAGAGGCAGTTTCCCCACAGAAAGAGTGGGGAGGTATCCTATCTATGCTTTACACCACATGTGTCAAACTCAAGGCCCAGGGGCCGAATCTGGACCACCAGGCCATTTCCTAGACTTCTACTTTCAGATCTAGGTATTAAGTTATTACAAAAACCAGTGATAATTGAATGCAGAGGCAATTATGATAAAGATTAGGTACATTTATATAGTCTTACAGATACAACCGGCCCTTTGAGGGCAACCATAATGTTGATGCGGCCCACGATTAAATTGAGTTTGACACCCCTGCTTTACATGGTGCGTGGTTGTTCCAGCTCAGTGACTCGCTCAATCTTGACTCCGTGCATGCTTGTTCCAGCTTAGTAACCCACTCGCACTTGACTGGGTGCATGCTTGTTCCAGCTCAGTGATTAGGTCATAAAGCCTAAACCTCATACATTGCAGGTATGTAAAACCGAAGGAAATGCAGATTATGTCCTTAGGTGGTCATATAAGACAATATATCATAAAACGGGACCTGTCAATATAAAACATTTTGTTTGAAGGTACAAGCAGGCAGCCAGTGAAAAACGAAGGCAGCCAATACACGCACAGTGCGAGATTCACCATTGTGAAAGATAGGGATGCCATCCTCCCAGCTTCATCAGATGGTAAGGGCAGGGCAGATTCCCTTCAAATGCTCATTATCAGTAGGACAGCTTCACTTTTAGCACCGCCCCGTTCAGTGAGGCCCGCGCACTATCATACTTCCCAACAGTTCTGCTCTTTCACTATTCAGTCCAGGCATGAAACATCCTGAGAGGGTCCTGTACCCAGTGTGGACATGCACTGTGGCCCCATCTGTGCCTATGGATGGTAGGATGGTATGTAACCCGCTGTCAGTACAGTTCGGCTACGCTTGATGTCAGCAGACTCAGAGCCGCCACTTTCATTGACACTCCATAGCAAGGGTAGGCAAACTCCAGCCCTCCAGCTGTGGTGAAACTACAAATCCCATTATGCCTTTAGGGGGTCAAGCTTGCACTGCCTGATGAGATTTGCAGTTGCACCACGGCTGGAGACTGGCTACCTTTGCTATATAACAAGGGTAGCCCTCCAGCTGTAGTCAAACTACAAATCCCACCATGATTCTGGGAGCCATGCCTGTGTCTTGCAACGCCTTATTGGCTGTGTAAATCCCAACAGCTGGAGGGCTGAAGTTTGCCTAACCCTGCTATAAAGTGTCAATTAAGTGGCAGCTCTGAGTCTGCTGAGATCACATCCAAGATGGCGGCACCCAACAAAAGTCTCAGCCGGGCTTTTGGATGTCTCCACAAGGGAGGCTTTTACGTGTAAATATGCATAAAATGCACCTATAACCTTATGGAAAGATTGTTGCTGCATTGAATTGTCTGGTGACAGGTTCTCTTTATAGGTGTTGTCCTTTAAACTGCAGAACAGCAAGACAGGCCAGAGCTGACCGTTCACCAGTTTGTCATAGACGCGTACCACGCCAGAGACGAACCCGGCCAACTCACAAGTATGTTAATTCTGATCATCTTCACCGCGGCACATTAAAGATTAAACTCCGTTTTTTATTTGAACATGGAACAAAAAAAAGGTATCAAACATTTAACTCTACAAATAAAAGACTATGAAAATGAGCTTCCCTCTGGTACCGCACTTCATCGTCACGGGTGGGGGGGGGGAGGCGGCGTGGTTGGAGCAACGAGAGACAGACGGCTGTCAGATGTGGGAGGGGAGGAATTAAAGGAAACCGTTCCGGAGAGAAACATGGAGCCTGCCATGGCTGACTCCTCATTCTCCCAACGCAAGTTGCCTGGCTGTCATGCTGGTCCTCTAGGGTGCCAACGAAGACTTCCAGATCTGCCTTCTTGTTCCAGGTCATTTGCTCATAGTATTAAAACATAGGGATCAGCATGACATCCAGACGGTTAGCATTTTCATGGGACATGAGCAATGGCAGCCACCATATGTCCCCTATGGTAGGTTCCCTTGCAGGTCTTCAGCACCTTGGACAGGTTTTCTGGATGGAGGTTACAAGAGGCGCCCCCGGCATTCTGTGGATCCGCAGCAACACAGCAGCTTCTTGCCTTCCACGCTCCCCACCTCGTAGTTATAATCCCAGGTCAGCTCCGTGCCGGCCCGTATCCTCCTACGAAAACAAAGTCATATGGAGATGACAGATGTTACTTAGAGAAGTGGGGGCAAACCTTTCAAGTGTTTCTGTGCCGCTGTCATCCTGACTGCAATGTCTAGTGAGTCACTAACCTAAAATAAGCATGCTGCCAGCAAAGTCTAAACTCCCACATTGCGTTCCAGACTATGTGACTCACTAGGTTGCGAAGCCAGGATTGGCACGACGGCCCTGGAAACTGGAATCCATTATGGCGGCTCTAATTTCTAGACTGGAGCTGAAGTCCGGGAATCAGCCAAAATCCACCCTTGCAGTGGAGCACCCCCCTAGCACTGCAAGGGTTAAATGCAGATTAAGCCTAGGTGAGGTGAAAAGGTTGTAATATTTATCTTACTCCTTGATCCGGGCACTCTCGGCAGTGGGAGACGGCCACCTCAAAAATGTTGCCACTGTCACAGCGCCCTTGCCTGCATTCCCAGCCACACTCTGCTCCTCCAATATTACTGCAAAGACCGGCTGTCAATGACAGCCGGGACTTACTCTATCCACACAGCAGTGGCTGTACCCAAAGCAGTGCTAATTAAACCTTGAGTGCCAAACATTGATGAATACAATGTAGCAACATTGTTACTATGTATTTACGCCGTTACATCCATATGCAGCTGAGGGGTGAACATTGATCTGCATATGATGTCAGTTAAAGCAACCCCACATACAATGCAGGCCTAGGAGACAAGCTTGCAACTGCGGGAGAGAGAAGAGGCTTCTATGGACCGGTCGCACAGATGGAAGAGCCTGCTGGAGTGGGGAATGATGTATGTATTACTCCCTAAACTTAAGGAGCAGTTAACCCTTGCAGTACAGGAGGGGGCACCACTGCAAAGGGTAGGTATTGGCTAATTCCAGGAGTTCAGATTTTAAGGGAATTTATGAAGAAAGAAATTAGACACCTTTCGCTATTGGTAGTATATTCAGAGTGTGTGTGTTTGTGTGAGAGAGGGAGGGGGAGAGAGGGAGGAAGAGAGAGAGAGGGAGAGAGAGAGAGGGAGAGAGAGAGAGGGAGAGAGGAAGAGAGAGAGAGAGAGAGAGGGAGGGAGTGCCAATCTGCCATCCCAGCTCCTACAAGACTTACCGTTGATTAACTCAGTAGCTTTATGTTATTCTTGGATTTTCCTCCTGCACGTTGACACTCATGCTCCCATGTTCTTTATTCTCAGCTTCATATTGACAACATTTAAGCTGAGACCAAGAAAACAAGGACATGACCTCCAACTAGCACAAGAAAGTTCCGAGTAGAGGATGCTTGGAAAAGACCAGCAGAGGCCATGTGCAAATCAACCTAAGTGAATTAAACATGCTAGGTCTATCCTCCGACAAAAAAAAAAACTTTATGGCAAAGATAGGCAACGTTGGCACTACAGCTGTTGTGGAACTACAAGTCCCATGACATTGCCTCTGGGAGTCATGCCTATGGCTGTCAGTCTTGCAGAGACATGATAGGATTCGTAGTTCCACCACAGCTGGCGTCTATGCCTGCTTTACAGTGTGGTCAGATTTCAAATAAATCTTAGTTGTGCAAACACAGGAAAGTCACTGGTGCCACCTGCTGGACAGTTTCTGGTAATGCCCTGCACAACGCTGCCGAGTACATGGATGATGTGCCCCTTTATTAGGTGGAATGTTAAGCAGATTACTTACTTGCTGGCGAAGAAAGCCACCCAGGGAAATCGCAGGTCATGTGTGTCCACAAACACATTCTGTACAAACAGGTTGGGACTGCAGCTGTGCTGTAATACAAAATACAAAGCGGGGAGGTGAGACCTCTGCAATGCTTACCTATGCAAACAGGTATTACCATCTGATATGCGACTTATTGGAAATATATACTAGGCATCCATGCTACAAATATCAAAATGCCGCAAGTAGATCCTTAACATCTGATTAAATTCTTCCTATGTTTACAAAGCTTGGGCTTAATGAAAAGACGAGATTTCTTCACAGCTGCCAATCAGATTTCAGGGCAGGAATGATTCCGCTTGGTGGTTTCTCCCTTTTCAGAACCCTGTGCTGAATTAAATACAGAAACTGTCAATGCCGACCTCCTCCTGAAAACGTCACAGACCCAGAACTAGCCAGCGGATCAGGAAAGCCAAGAGCACCTGATCCTTAACCTAAAGAACTGATGCTACTGGATCAGGATGACAGCCAGGTGACCGCAATGAAAAGGGGAGGCCAGCAACAACAACTTCCAGACATTACAGATTTCCCCTAATGAAAACACAAGCAGGTGAGGGAGAAGAAGCAGGACCAGGAGAAGAGGCAGGAGAACAAGAAGGAGCGGGAGAAGGAGCAGGAGAGCGAGAAGGAGCAGGAGAGCGTGAGGGAAAAGGAGCAGGAGAGCGTGAGGGAAAAGGAGCAGGAGAGCGTGAGGGAAAAGGAGCAGGAGAGCGAGAGGGAAAAGGAGCAGGAGAGGGAAAAGGAGCAGGAGAGGGAAAAGGAGCAGGAGAGGGAAAAGGAGCAGGAGAGGGAAAAGGAGCAGGAGAGGGAAAAGGAGCAGGAGAGCGAGAGGGAGCAGGAGAGCGAGGAGAGCGAGAAGGAGAGCAAGAAGGAGAGCAAGAAGGAGAGCAAGAAGGAGAGCAAGAAGGGAGCAGGAGAGCGAGAAGGAGACGGAGCAGGAGAGCGAGAAGGAGACGGAGAGCGAGAGGGAGAAGGAGAGCGAAAAGGAGAGCGAGAAGGAGAGCGAGAGGGAGAAGAAGAGGGAGCAGGAGAGCGAGAAGGGAGCAGGAGAGCCAGCGCAAGAGAGGGTGAGCCAGCGAGCTTAAGAGCGAGAAGGAGCAGGAGAGCGAGAAGGAGCAGGAGAGCGAGAAGGGAGCAGCTGAGCCAGCGCAAGAGAGGGTGAGCCAGCGAGCTTAAGAGCGAGAAGGAGCAGGAGAGCAAGAGGGAGCAGGAGAGCGAGAGGGAGCAGGAGAGCGAGAGGGAGCAGGAGAGCGAGAGGGAGCAGGAGAGCGAGAGGGAGCAGGAGAGCGAGAGGGAGCAGGAGAGCGAGAGGGAGAGCGAGCAGGAGAGGGAGCGGGAGAGGGAGCAGGAGAGGGAGCAGGAGAGGGAGCAGGAGAGCGAGGGGGAGCAGGAGAGAGAGGGGGAGCAGGAGAGCGAGGGGGAGCAGGAGAGCGAGGGGGAGCAGGAGAGCGAG